GCTAATTAGCCGAGAATGCGAGCAGTGAACACCGGAATTTCGTTTCACGAACCTCCCGAAATCAAGAGTATCTCCGCAAGGAATTTCTCGGGATGATTACAGGGAAAGTTGAGCGTCGCCTACAAAGAGAAAGAAACAAGATAGATAGAAATAGAGAGATGTGTGTGTGTGTGTGTGTGTGACAAGCTAGTGAGTACTGCATGCACGAGCCGACACTTACCCGCGCGGAAAATCCGCGGTGTCAACACGCCGCGAGGAGATTTCATCGACAGACAATTTCCCACAATCCGAAATTATCCCCGGAAAACGCGCGGGGTTCCCTTTTCGGGCGCGTGCAAAATTGGCGTTTATCGCTAGACGGCTCTTGAAAATCGGGGCCGCGTCCCCAACACACTCGACACTGCGAAGCCTCTCGAAACCCGCCCTTCGGACGATCAAGCCTAACCCCACTTCACCCGCCGCGTGTCTTTGTGACAGCCGATGAGTCTTGGGTTTCAATTTCAGGATTCGTCCGCGAGTTGTGCATGCATAACTACCCCCGCCGCGACGCTTTCAACAACCTCAAGCCTGTATCCGCATCCGTTAAAGGCTAACCCCCCGGCTAATGGGGGCGGATCAGTAGAATAGAGCGGGCGCCAAAACAGAGCGTGCCAAAACATCCCGTGAACTCAAATTTAGCGGGGGTGTAAAAAAAGAGTGAAGACGAGGAACAAAACTATCACAGACAAACACTCGAAAAGTATTTACTGTATAATGCTACCTCCCACGGTCAAGTACGGCATCCACTCGAACATGGGGGACACCTTTTCGCATATCACGTAGCGTCGCATATTCGACAGCACCTTCATTAGATATCTTCTCATACTGTACAGTATTTGATCGAGTCTCTCTTTTCGTGGCATTCCAGATTCGCAGGTGAAGTGCATGATTGCTTCTGGCCAGTGCTTCTTACACAGAAATCCTAAAAATTAAATCAAGGAATAAATAAAATGAAAATAAAACGAAGACCAGCCTTAATGCCATTTCAACAGACGCAGGAAAAATGTTGACTGCTAAATTCGGGTTAATCCCTCGCGTTGGCGATGCCATACTCCTGAAACGTGTTGCATTTTATTCATGAAGATAAAATATGGATACGATTCATAGACCGAAGGCGACAAAATAGGCCGCGCCCTAATTCTGGGCAGTGATCCCCGCGAAAAACCGGCATTATACACAACAATAGAAATTCTGAAAATGTTGCCTATTTATACTGTACATTGATATTGTATAAAGTACATATACAGTAATCTCAGGTATAATTGACGCCCGAAATTTGCAGGCCTTTTTACGAAGAAGTATGGTCTATAAAACGAGTAATTATGATACAGCATAGACATTTCCAGGAGAAGTGTTGAAGTCGATCAAGCCAAACTCTCAAGTTGCATCATTGCCTCACACAAAGATTCTTCTTCGAATCAAAACTGTTTGAAGCTCTGTACCTGATCTTTTGTACAAGAGCTTTTTTTCCGCTGTTTTCAGAAATCAGTGTTCCAAGAACGCGCCGTTTCGGGATGAGCTCCATTGAGAAGTCACAGTTGACGAGTTTTTCATGAATTTCGATTCGAAAGCACGCTGATCGAAGCAACTGCTGGAATACGAAGTATTCAGGTGAACTGTCGTGGCACTCGAGAATGACTCGGATTTGAAATCAGAATAAGGGCGGATCGAATTAGCATTTCGACCGAGGTCACCCTGTCTGGCCTTCTGGCTCGATTTCCATCCCGAAGTCTGGAGCTCTGATGTGAATATCCTTCAAGTAAGGGTTAGAAAGAGAATCACTCACAGCTCGTAAGTTCAGCGGAAGAGATCACGGCGTCGAATGCCGACGAAAACCACTTGTTGGTGCTTCGGATTACTTTTATTGACGCTTCTTGACTTCGTTTTAAAGGCTGCACGTCAAAGACATTTACTGTGACGAAAAGTATCCAGAAAAATCATGCATCACATTTCCAGAAGGCTGCAGAAACAAATTCAAACAGAGAAATCCCCTCGCACAATTTCAATTTACTTCGAAGGATCAATAAAAGCTTATTCTCTGAGTCTTCGGATCGATTCAGAGCAACAATTAATTCCCCAGCTGCCTCTTAGCTTGTTCTTTTTTTTACAAAGAAATCCAGACAATTCAGAGGAATAGCTTCCAAAAAATTGCACTCATGCACTCACATTCTCGTCCGGAGGGGAAGCCAGGTAGATATTTCGTGTCAATCTCAATTTACAGAGAACTCAGTCAACAAATCCGCTGGGGAAGATACGAACAGTTTTTCAGCACGATATTCCAGGAACATAAAATCGAGAAAATGGTGGCAGTGAAATAATCGCACGATGAATCCTAGATAGAAGACTTTTGCAGACGGAGTTCTCAAGAACTCGAAGAAAGTCGATTTGGCCTGAGGTAGACGGAGATTCCTGAGTTGATGCACCCAGAAAAACATGAATTAATCAGGGGTTTATGAACGCATAGTAAAATTATTTAGAACACAGGAAGGTCAAATAAAGTGGAAAATCCTTTATTATGTCATCCGAAGAACGTGCTCGACCTTCTGCTGTATTCCTTTCAGGGCAAAATCCCGGAGTGATCCATTCACTAGTAATTTGAAGGACGTTGAGATACGAGAATTGTTCCCTGAGGGTGCTACGATATTGCACACCTATTTAATTTCGAAAAATGGCAAACCTTGTCTTGCTGAGGATTCAACAATTTATTTATACTTCTCAGAGTCAAAAATATTTCCCTTATAATTCTCCCAGGCGCCGTGGTTGATGAAGAAAAGTAATTTCTTTCGCTTCCCCACTAGCTATCCTTCATTTCTTCGACACAAGTTTCTCGATTATATTTGCTCGAAAGTCCCCAGAATATTCTTCCAATTTTCGACCTGAAGAATAGCGCGTGAATCGCTGTGCTGTATTTGAATCTCTCCGAAAAACTAAAAGCTCGCATTCGTCTTATAAAAAACATGCCAGCACAAAGGTTTTCCAGCAATTAAAGGCATGTTCACCCTCTCTTTCTCGCGTAAAAAAGGATTCAAAGGAAAAATTGCGTAACGGAATGAAAAGTCGCGTTTGTTGTGTTGGGAGAGCAGGAATCCGTAACTGGGGTCGATATTACACGTTCGTTCGACGATCATTCGGCATTCGAGTTCGCCCCGGGGAAAGGAAGGAAGGCAGATCCGTCATCGACCCGATATAGTCGGACGTAAATATACCTACACACATCCAGCCGAATAAGCGCGAAGAAAATCTATCAAATATGCAAAATAGAGTCCCTGGGCCCTCCGTATATGCATCAACAATGCGGTGAAAATTGCTTTTCGGGCCTACATTAGCGATCATTCACAGAGAGAAAAGAATGCGGTGCCCTTGCAAGAACCGGCCGCGGGAATAATGCAACCCGTCGCGTAAAGAAAACCCGATAATGCTCTTCGAATTTTCATCATCATGCCACAGTCCTGACTGCACGCGATCCTCGCCTGCATGAAGAATCGAAGATCCGCAGCTGATCTTTGTTTGTCAGCTGCCAAATCCATCTTTATTTTCTGACGTAACTACGAACTTTCTCACTCAATGAAATTTTCGGTCTTCCTCCGAGCATTCCTGCTGCAAGCAAGCACTCACATATGCGAAGGAGAAGTTTGAAAACCCTTTCTCGGCTTTTCCAGACCATTTCTATCTCCTTCGAGTCAACCAAAAGCAACCCCCAACGTACGGGACTGATATACGAAGGTGATGCACGACCTCTTTCAAGAGTAATATGTTCATTCATGAGACAACGGCTTTTCCTCTTAACCATCCACAAGTCCTAACATAGAACGCGCGATAATTAAATAGACCTCATTCGGATTCTGCAAAGCTGTTGTAGGACACAAAAAAATTGAAACATTTTCAGGAAAAATTCGGCCCATGCACACATAAAAAGTTATCTTATAAAATGGTTTACAGTACTGTACTTATTAAATGGGGTTGGTCGAAAATCCACACAATACGGATATGATTAGTGAACAAAACACCACCAGGGGAGACATGATGGAACTCAAACGAAAATGAGTCAGCCGCCCCGATATTCTCAAATAAATTTGATTTTACGGCAACCATGCATATTTACCCGAAATTTCCCCTTTTTCAATTTTAGAAGCTCAAAAAGTACGGTGCTGAAATTCGCGTAATTACACAGTTACTGTATATCATTTAAATCGGGAAATCTTCCTATTCGCGGCCCACAAAATCATACCTGGAGGAGTTCTTGGTGCTTGGGCTTTGGTTGAGGCAGGCCGCAGGACACACACTGCAGCACGCCATGACTCCTACACCAGGAAGTGTGCAGCGCAGCTTAAATACAGTAAATCAAGTCTGCTGAAAAAGTCATCGAAAATTGTCTCTTCACTCGAATTTCACTTTCAGAAGGGTAGATTGCAGTTTATTTTTATTATATACAAGTAGCGCTTCAAGATCCATGAGTCCTGGATTGAAGGGAAAGGGCAAGTGCTGTGAGACACCGTTTCTTCCTTTTTATGGGACAACTCGAATTTATTTAGAAATTTTAGGTTCCTGAAAGTCAGAACACCAGGAAAGTAGGTGGACGCTCATATTCGCCTGTATAGTACTGTACATTAATGGCATGTCAATTTTGTGCAAAAATAAATTAAGGGATGCTTGTAACCGTGAGAACTAATTTTTTTTGCCTGCAACTACAATATATTCAACCTATTTAATCGTATTGTACACCCAAATTTAATATGATGGGAGCTTCAGTCTGTTGACGTCAACAAACCTCACAGTGCCGTTAAAAGCAGTAAAAACATCCGCCTTTCCTGATAAATGATCGAATGAATATAATGTCAACAATTGGAAAAGAATTAGTTTCAAGAATTTTTGGCGAACGCATCGGTATCCCGTTACTGTACATTGAAATGGAATCTCCATGTCTTCCGTAAGTGAAAGGACGAGTCGAGGAACTCGACGAGGGATTTTTCAGAGAATTATACAAAAAACGTAGAAATTCGGAAAAGATGCAGAATACCCTAAAATCTAAATTATTATCGACGCAGACAGGCTTCATATAGGAAGCAGATGGAACCGTGGAGACCGAAAGGAAATTGCAGGAAGGCACGGGTTCATCAGCCACCAGCAAGATCAAGCAGAAGCTGCTTCGTGTTTTCTCATCCACAATAACGCGGGCTTAAAAGTATGCGGATCACGGGAATCTGCGACGCTGTCAACCAGTGATTTACGACAGTAAGGAACACATAAAACCCGGTCGGCGTGAAAGGCATCGGCGAAGTGACGACGCTTAATGAAATTTTCCGCCGCGACATCAGTGAAATACAAGGAGCTCAACGTGGATCAGGTACAAATTACTTGTTTAGTCGAAGGCGAACAAAGAAAATTTGTGCTCGTTATTCACTTTCCCTCGGGCTCGAATTTCTCCATGAATACGCTTTCCCATCATGCCCCTCGAATTTCAAAGAACATGCAGCTGCTTGTTCCGTGCCATATGGTGAAACAGCTAGCTTGAGAACACCTTACATTCCTGAAATAAATTGAGCCCTCGATGCAGTATAGGCTGAATTGGACGTGTCTTACATCAACAAGAGATACTGTATATGAAGATAGTAATACAAACTACTGCACACTGAACCCTTTCAAGTTTTCAACAACATCGAGTTCGAAATACCGTATCTTCCAACTTATTTAATAACCTCGAACTCTAAATTCAGTTCGGCCACGTCGAAACATGTTATCACACAGTTCTGCACGAGTGGACACAAAATTTCGTAGTGAATATAGTAGAGGGAACTTCAGTAACGCGGACTAAGTGCTGGCTCAACGAAAATTGCGTTGTAAGTGTCGATCTGCAACGACATCAGACAATTCGTCATGAGCGGTATTCAAGAAGTTTCTGAAGCGTGTGATGAATCCGTCATGGATTGCGACAAGTGATGGATCAAAAATTTTAAGAAGTAAAACTATTCCAACGCACCATTTAAATTGGCACGACATCATAACCACGACCAGGCTTCATGGCACTGATCGGCAAGTTGAAATATGCTAGGGGCGGTCTGTCTTGACTCAATGGCAGCAAATCATTAAATTCCGTCTTAAACAAACAAAAGAAGAGATTAACGAAATACTCATAACGGCTACCGTGTGAGATTTGAGCAAATCGAAGCACTTCAGCGCTCAACTTCTGAATTTAATTTCAAATTACAGTACTTCCCATTTGGAATCACGAACAAATCATGGAAAAATGTTTAAATTGTGAAAGGTAACAATAATTTTTACCAGTCCTACGAAGGAAGGCAAGTCATGATCAAACCAAGATGCACATGCTGCTTTAAAACTGATAGCAGGGAAACCGAGAAGTGCGAAAGAACATCTTTACAAGACGTCTGTATTTTGTTCACGATGTGGCTCATGACGCACTGGAGTTATTTGAAATGCAGTTTCCATTATAAATTTACAAAATGCCTACAATAGCCTACACCATCATACAGCTACGTAGCCAATAAGTTACAGTAGACAGGATTCGCGGCGTTTCTAGACATAATTCCGTAAATGTGTTTCATACTTTCATGGCATTTATACGCGCAGTCCAGAAACGGTACCGCGATGCGCAAACGAAATACAGTATCGATAAATAACGTGCAGCTGAAAAACTGCTGAACCACACACGGAGTAAGTACTCACCCAAGATATGCAAGTAAATTGACCTCGTTGTCCAACCGAGTCAACAGTAACCTGAATTGTGAGAAGTACGATCCAAGGATGCTGGGTAGATATACAGGACTTTCATTCGACGAATGTCTGGAACTGAAGAATACCATAGCTTTCATCTCGATATCATTCAATTGAAAAATGTGAAGAGTAATTTCTAGGAAACTTCCAAAAAGGGGCGAAGCAACGAATGAAAAAAATACGATACGACTTCTCAGTACCACTGAGTCTGCACTTCACAACTACGCGAATGGCTTTCAGGAAAGAATCTGATAGACCGCAGAAACCGAACATAAGTGTCGATCTGCAACGACATCAGACAATTCGTCATGAGCGGTATTCAAGAAGTTTCTGAAGCGTGTGATGAATCCGTCATGGATTGCGACAAGTGATGGATCAAAAATTTTAAGAAGTAAAACTACTCCAACGCACCATTTAAATTGGCACGACATCATAAACACGACCAGGCTTCATGGCACTGATCGGCAAGTTGAAATATGCTAGGAGCGGTCTGTCTTGACTCAATGGCAGCAAATCATTAAATTCCGTCTTAAACAAACAAAAGAAGAGATTAACGAAATACTCATAACGGCTAGCGTGTGAGATTTGAGCAAATCGAAGCACTTCAGCGCTCAACTTCTAAATTTAATTTCAAATTACAGTACTTCCCATTTGGAATCACGAACAAATAATGGAAAAATGTTTAAATTGTGAGAGGTAACAATAATTTTTACCAGTCCTACGAAGGAAGGCAAGTCATGATCAAACCAAGATGTCACATGCTGCTTTAACACTGATACCAGGGAAACCGAGAAGTGCGAAAGAACATCTTTACAAGACGTCTGCATTTTGTTCACAATGTGGCTCATGACCCACTGGAGTTATTTGAAATGCAGTTTCCATTTTAAATTCACAAAATGCCTACAATAGCCTACACCATCATACAGCTACGTAGCCAATAAGTTACAGTAGACAGGATTCGCGGCGTTTCTAGACATAATTCCGTAAATGTGTTTCATGGCATTTATACGCGCAGTCCAGAAACGGTACCGCGATGCGCAAACGACATACAGTATCGATAAATAACGTGCACCTGAAAAACTGCTGAACCACACACGGAATACGTACTCACCCAAGATATACAAGTAATTTGACCTCGTTGTCCAACCGAGTCAACAGTAACCTGAATTGTGAGAAGTACAATCCAAGGATGCTGGGTACATTGATTTTTTCGGTAATCCAAGGATACAGGACTTTCATTCGACGAATGTCTGGAACTGAAGAATACCATAGCTTTCATCTCGGTATCATTCAATTGAAAAATGTGAAGAGTAATTTCTAGGAAACTTCCAAAAAGGGGCGAAGCAACGAATGAAAAAAATACGATACGACTTCTCAGTACCACTGAGTCTGCACTTCACAACTACGCGAATGGCTTTCAGGAAAGAATCTGATAGACCGCAGAAACCGAACACTCAAGGTCAGAAGCAACGTCTGAGAACACGAAGGACAACGCGGGGAAAAGAGGGCCGATTTTCTCGACACATCCCTTCAACGGATTGCCTTACAAATTTAATCGAAGTCAAATGAAACGTAACGGCGAGAACACATTACACCTCAGAACATCGAGCGATAATACACATCGCGAATACACGAAAATGACGGCAAAAGCACATGAAAACAATAAAAGCACATGAAAACAGTAAAAGCACATGAAAACAGTAAAAGCACATAAAACATTGTACAGCTAGCTAGATCTAAGAGAATACACCAACATCGAGTGACTCCTGACAGAAACCAACACTGAACATGCAGAATTTTTGACACAAAAATACATCGAAATCGGAAACAGCAGATCAGCTCAAAATCGCTTCGAGACAAGCACAACCAGCAAAATCGAATCCCAACCGTTAGCCAGAGATCCAAATCAACATCCCAATTTCCACGCTCTTCGAAGAGCGATTCATGAAAAATTCGCCATTCATATCCCTGTTTCACGGCCACGCCTTCAACAGCAAAACACAATCATCGAGCTTTCGTTCCGGGACATACATTTGAGATCTCACAAAAAGAGTGCCGCGGCAGGAATCAGCACCCAAAAGGTACACTTCCAACCGACACGCGCACATTATCATAAGCTGTGAAGATTTCTTTTTTTGAAAAATGTTCCAACACAGCGAATTCACGATCCCACTTCTTCACAATTCCTCAACTTAAATTTTGACCGTGTCCTTGTTTGCTCAAATCGGATTCCAAAGCAAAATGCTTGATGTTAATCAACCAATTCCCATCCTCCATTGCTTTCACGTGACTATCACAGTGAACCACAGGAAGACGTGAGGATCGGTAGTACTGAGCTCAGATAAGCGAGAACTTAATCATGCTTCGCGGATATTTTCGGGAATAAAAATATGCGTATAAAATGCCATTTACAAAACAAAGAGAAAAAGATACGCTCTTGTCACAGGAATCTGTGTGAAACGGGGACATCTGTACATTATAACCATTTCTTCAAGGATAGCTCCGGAAAACTAAGATTTGGACTGAGGAACGAAGAATAACAATGTGGAATTCTGCATGCGACAGCCAACATCACAAAAATGGTCAATCCGGACGCGCAATGATCTCATTCAACCACCGCAGCGGCATCTCAAAACATGGCCGAGATCAACATCAAGGGATTAACAGCAATATGGTAAACATAGCACACGGGAATACGTCACTTCTTTAGGGCAAAGCAAGGATCGCACGAAAACTCTTCGTACGAAGCCATTAACAAGGCACGAGTCAGCACATGGGGTACAAGAACATGCTTCACAGATAAATATACTGAAAACTCTCTGTGCCGTCTGGAATGAAGCTGTTCGTAAACGCAACTAGTTTGAACGACCAATTCCAATAAAAAATAAAACATTCATCGGGAAATATTCAAGCAGAGCACAAGCTTGACTTTATCCACAACCACGAAGAAGGGAAATCTATCCCCTCCACCTTTCGGATGATATTCAAAACCACTAACTTGGAGTGCAGGATTGCATTCCTTAAATATTTTATATTTCCAAGTAGCTCCGCAATCTTACACCAAGTGCTCGGGGGTTACAAAAACTTTTCTCCGGAATCATGCATCATGCAGGGTAATTGGGGAAGGCACAAATGCGACACAGCTTGAGCTAGCAAATTATACAGTCAAAAAATCCCCTTCGATTTCCACCGCTGACAAGGCACGTGTAAAAAAAATCAATCACGAAAGTTTGAAAAGGCACATATCCACTCAGCTACTCCGACAGTCCCAGCGTCTCTTCCCATAAGTCAACAAAATGAGCACAGTCAGGATATACCCAACTGCACATCAAATGAACACTCCCGAATTAACCCCTCCCTGACCTGGGCCAGATCAATGCACATGAAAGACGCATGCAGCGTACATCGATCCACTGACCAAAAAGAACCCATCAAAAAAATCCCCATGAGACATTGCCATGGCACTTGAAACAAGGATCAAAAACAGTAAAAAAAAAACTCTTGACCCTTACATTCGTAGGGACTTCATGACACCGACATACTCGTTCAGATCAAACCGAAAGAACGTTTCAGTATTCCTTTGCACTTGATAATGCACCAACAAATTGAATTACACCCATAATTCAAGCTTTCCGGTTCAGCGTAACACTCTAACGCACAACACCTTCAAAAACACATAATTCGAAGGAAACCACAGCATGCATCCAGACTTGATTCATTGCCCCACGGATTTCGGCTGCTTAACTTTAGTCCTTTTCCGCTTCCAGCAGTCCGGGTGAGCTTGCTTATACTCTTCGGCCATTTCGCGGGCGCACATTGAATACTCCTCCCTTTGCGCAACAGTCAGTCGTTTCCACGCATCTCCCAACAAAATGCTGATAGATCTGGTGACAGTAATACATTCATAACATGGAAACCCAGAAGAAACCGTTTTACAACACACCTGTTGTCTTTCCCTGGATTAGCTTGGATCATCTCTTGCCGAAAGTACTTCGCAAAAAGCATAAACCCGTTCATCGGGCGACGTGTGCGATCTATTTCCAGAGGAGCACCTATACCGTGGCGGATACTGGGCGACTCGGGTGGTGACAGCATCAACAAGTCACTGGAACTGGACAAGGTGGGAAACCCCATAGGAGAGATAAGGGCAGACGAGTGCATGGTGCTTGGCGACGAGAAGGCACCCAGATGATGCGGGACGTGGTAGCTTGGAGAAGGAACACTGCTCGGTCCTGGACGATGAGAATGTAACAACAACCCACGAGGAAAAGGAGAATGGGGAGTCGGCAGTTGTGCGTGAGATCCTGTCATCAGGTACGGGGATGAAGGCATGGATAAAGTCTCGGATGTGCACATGTTCGGCGGCGGAGGAAACGTAAACCTGCAACCAAAGACAGAATAATTCAGTGCCGAGGTTCTCAAATCGTGCTAGAGTGGACATTTCATGGGCTGCCCCACGGAGATGAGCAGATTACGCTAGTTTAAATTCATGAGGCAAGCACTTTGGCACATATCTAACAGAATAGGCCATAAATACACTCACTACTGACTCCTACAATTTTTGAGCTAAGCAAAATACAAAAAGATCATCAGTGGATTAAGCGAAAGAAATTTGCTTTACTTCCTCAACTGGTATCTAACAGGAGTCCGCTACATGAAGATTAGAGTTCCACGACTGAAATTCATCAAGAAAATATTATCTCGTCGTTCCAGCGTATTCAACATCAATTAAAGCATTTAATTTCATGTAAATTTCACAGTGGTATATCGAAGTTCTCTGAAGGAAAGACCTCTTCCGGATAAAAATAGATGTACCACCATTTGCATGTACTACGTTCGCAGAATGCGAACGTAGTACATGCCATCTGCATGCGAATTGGCAGATGGAGAAAATTTTCGAAATAGAACGAAAAAACTAGAGAATACAAAAATTACAAGATTCCGTACACTTTCAGTCGGGTTTCGAGATCAGGTGTTAACGACGTGTGGCATTCAGGTGGCTGAGCTGATAATATGCCGCTGGATTTTGGACCGGGAGATGGAGTCGACGAAATCGGCTGAATGACAACATCGCCCACTGTCAACTCCCTACAGGGCATGCCGTAATTATTTGTCATCATTTCAGGGAACACCGACGACCATCCTGGGGGGAGAATGACATGGAGATGAACACTTTCAAGCATCACATGATAATGACATACCAGAGTCACGGACGAAAAAAGGGTGATCAATTGCACACGCAGCCGTGAAAGACGAGACAGTTCCAATATCAGAAATTCTGAATCGAATAACGGCGTAAGTGAGATCGCTTTGATTAGCAACGCGTTCTATCTTCTGAACGAACAACGGGCATCGAGCAGAATCACAATAGGGAGAACCGACGGGTGTCAATGGCTCTTCTTTGTACCGTCTCCCCAAGTCTTCAACTGAGATCCAAGGACCCTCATCTCCATTTCCAAACCGTATCTTTGTTCCTATAAAAAGATTGAAAACTAAGGTAAAGTAGGATTTAATTTTTTTTTTAAACGCGATTATTACCACAGAAATCAACTTGAAATCAAAATACACCAGAATTTCATCAATAAGGAAAAAAACGAGGAACAAATTCCTGTTCGCAAAAATTGCATTGACTTACCATTCAGGAAACAACCCCAAATTGGCGTCGGCACCACCGCACTGAAAGGGTACGGAGACGTCGTGAGATCTAAGGGAAGAGATAAGGGTACGTTCGCAGGAGGCATGAAATATCGCGTTGAGCGTTTCGCCGGCGAAAGAGGACGTCCATCTAAGGCCTCCGCACTAGACGCGACGGACGATGGTTGCGAGGATGAGGACGATGAAGCTGGAGTCAGAAGTCCTTCGAGTCCAAGAGACGCAATTGAAAATTTCAGATGTGGGGTTTCCTTGGATGGAGGTGGAACAAACTTGGCCTCGGGACAATCTTCGGCTGAGTTCTCAGTCTGGCTTATCTTCAATGATGACGATGCCACCGATGTATCACAATTCGAACTATTTTGAAGATGGAACACGGATGATGAAAACCCCTTCGCGCAATTTACGGAGAGATCCAATGATGCTGGCGTGAAGCCTTCGTTCAAATCCACAGCTTCACCTAGGCTCGACCAACTCAACGCGCGCTTCCGTAATGGTAAGTGCTTTTGGTCCAAGGGACTCTTCAGACAGGTCAATGGGTAAACAGCATCCTCTTGCGACTGATGAAGATTCCGAACTGTCAAGTCTAGGGGCGGTGGAATCGGTTTTGGCTTCTTTGAACTAGGATACGCTCCATTCATGAGACCCTGCTGAGATCCTACAAAGGTATCATCGTCCTCAGACTTTACTTCCGTTTGCAGCCCCATTGCGGGATACTGCGCGGTGCTTGTATCTATCCCCAAAACCCCACAACCACCATATTTCTCCGAGTTATGTTCCATTGGATCTCACATCTTTCGGGCGCCCGACACAGAATATTGATACACGATGTTAACCATCAGTCATCTGGGATCAGAGAAATCTTGCATCAAATTCAACGAACACTATTTTCACTAGTTACATAAGCTTGTGTCACATGCATGACAGCACGAAGTCGTACTGAAATGACATCAATGATCGTCAAGGGTATTACAACGAAACGTAATAACTCACCAAGACAGATAGGTACGAAGCATGTAGGGTTTTCAATAACTCTATAACGCACCAGGGAGATCTGACAGATCCAACGAATAAATACGTATTGATACTGCACTATATTTTGGAAAGCAATCCCACGGTATAACAAGGACCTCGCAATGTCCTTCGACTACTGATGACACTCCGCTTGAACCTGCGGAGCACACTTCATCGTCTCGCTCACAACCCATATCAAATTAAATTACTGTACTCCACTTAATTCAATACCCATACACCCTTACAAGCAATGCTCAGAGATACCTCGCCTCCAGCTATGAAGTGAAGGAATACACAGTATTGAGTGCGGCCATCACAAATCGAACACACTATTCACGTCATAACGTCAGTACTCCACAGATGACGCCACTTGTCTTGTTTACAATACCCTACCTCCAACTTCGCATCAACATCTCTGCCAAAGCAGTCCATATGTTCTTCCATCATCTCTCATCCGCCCATTAGTCACTTGGTCACCCAATACAGTACCAGGGCCAGATTAAACCACATTTAGGCCTGATGCTGCACAAAAAAATGGGCCTAATTTTCCTTTGAAAAAAGGAAATGGGAATTTTCCCACACACAAGTTAATGAAATAATTTGTATAGATAACATAGGATTGCTGAGGCTAGAATTCAATTACTCAAAGATATGGTAGAATTTCATCAAAATGACTTTCATTAAAATACATATCTTTGATGATGAATTTTTATTGATCATGTCAGGTTCTCCATATAGGCACCATTTTATAGAAATCTTGTTACTGGCTGTATAATGAACTGATTTTATTGGAGGAAAGGGTGCACCATTCCAATTTCTTGAGAAACTGAAGATTTTTGTTAGAATAAGGCTAGGTGTTCAAAAAATCCACAACATGACATATTTCTTGGAAATTCTTTATCTAAATTTTAAGTTGTATGCCTTTCTTTCAAATGAACAGTATCCTATAGAAGATGTATGTGTTTCTCTATTTGAAAGAGCAGACAGGTATATAAGCAAAGAAGTTGACTCAGAAGGAAGTACAGAATTTCTCTCAAGTACAAAGGTAGGATGAAAGAAAATATGTACCTTTTTCTTACAAATGTTTTCTATTCATTTCATCAAATTACTGTACTTAGTAATCATGATATGTCTTGATTTATCTGTTTTAGATGCAATCTGAAGGTATATGGCACCTATTTCAATGAATTTCAGTTTAAAATATGTTTAAAAAAATAATCACAAGACTACAACATAATACAGTACTATATATATCCTCCAAATGAATATGTTCCAACATAAAACCAAGTATACAGTTTAGATTTAATTTGAAGTGTTTGGTTAAGTGGGCACAACAATATTAGCTGTTCCACTCATGGCACAAAATATGTACATGATCAAATAAATTCATGATCATGAAGTATGTCTCTGCTGTGTGAAACATATTTCTCATCCCAATTTCAGCTGTAACTTGGATGGCATGTCAAAATGTCATCCACTTATTCCATTCATTCAAAACTTCCACAGAATGTTAACCCATGCTGCTGTGTGATGGTTAACTTGCAATATTTTTAAAAATTTTGTGCCCATGATGAGCACTTGAAATAAAATAAAAATAGCTCTTCAGAAAGAACACTGAAGTAAAAAAAAGTTCAATATTTTATTCCAATCCTGCCAAAAATATTGAGAAAGATTCAGAAATCTTCTGAAGTTTCTCAGTGACATCATTAAAACAACTTTGTGTTTACATTAGAATGCAGTGAGAGGCTCCACAGCAAGAAATTCAAGAGAAATAATATTCAGAAACTTGGAAATCTCCTGATCACCTCCAAAATATTTAACTTAAAAAGCATTGCAAGGAGGTGGGCGAGTATCTGCTTGTTTCCAGGATGGGAGGTGGAAACGTTTTTTTAAGGGGCAGGAGTGTTCAAAAAAGCATCTCCCAGGAAAAACTTGGATTTATACAGAACCCATCAGGGCAACAATGTTCAAGGGGGGGGGGGAATTGTCTAAGGAGTCACAGCAGGGAATGCTGGGTTTAAAAAAATTATTTTTTTACATCAGGAGTGTTAATGAATAACAATTACTGATGTTCCAGAAATAAAAAGCATAATTTTTTCAACACTAGCAAGAAATTACTTCAGAAGATTTTTGAGGCCACTACAGGCTTTTTAAGTGGGCAAGGGAGTGACAAAATTATCCTGCCAGGCAGGGTGGCATGATTGGAATTGAAATCTTTGATTGAATTTTCTCCTGCCCATGATTGCTTGTCACCACATCTTCCTGCTTCTGGCCATTGGCTTTGATTTCCTTTTTTAATGCAAGAATTATTGTGGGCTCCCAATTGATTTTTGTGTCCTTTGTATCCAGTTTCCTCTTCAAAGGTTTGTATACAGTATGTGCAATGTGCTGGAATTGATTTATTAGTGCCTGATTATTCTCATCATGAATACTTCAGTCTGTTTCCACATTTTTTTCCGGAATTTTCATTATCTAAAAAAAGTTAGAATTCCCCAAATTGGTAATTTTTTTAAATTCTCCAGGGGCCTATTTTTCCGGTGATGCTGCAGCATAAATAGCACCCACCTCAATCCGGCCCTGCCCAATACAGTAACAAATCATTGGAGATTTTTTTTTCTAAAAAACACAAGTTATATTTTCAACTTCACATATTCAGCTTCACCATTCCAGCTGCGAATCATTCATACGGTGGGGCTAATTCACGTTTCTGCTCAAATTTGGAGAGTGCATCTATCATTAATCTTTATAAGCTGCTGTCATTGAGTCATGCTAAAAATAAAATAAATAAAAACACGTAAGTCCAGCTGCGCAAGAACCACGCCATCGGCGACCGGTGTTTCAAACGGGAACGTTCTAGGAATCCCCACAATACAGTGACAAAGCACATTTTGCGTAATTCCTACGTTAGCTTCGGAAATTAATATTCAATCCACAACATGCGTAAAGCGCTGCTGATCCTGAGAAATATGCCAGAAATTGTTTCCTTTCCAACAGTCGAAGTCGGAAAAAAGGGAAACGGACTAAGTCTTCCTCGGCCAGTTCGACAGAACCATTGGCCAAATACGCACTAACCATCGATGCCAATACAGCGACAACACTCTCGAACAATCACAAACAAAACAAAAATCTGCGGACAAGTATCAGAGAGAAATGCAGACTTTCCCGCGAAAATTCAAGACACGGACGAATACAGTATTTAAAAGTAAATAAATAAAAAGATATAGCCTCGCAAGAAAAGTTTTCCATGAAATGCACATCTGGAATCTACGACATCCCACAGTACACACAGATCGCATTCATTTCCCTTGCCTGGAATGACTTTTGTTCGAAACGACTACATTTTATCAATCGAATGATTTTGTTACGAACGGACCGAAATGGTCATGCGGTGAAGCAAGCGAGGGACAAAGGACATTTGCGAAATAAGAAAAGCCAAGAAAATCCGTCGCGACAGGGAATCCTTGGTCCATCCTGACCATTACATGAACGGCAAAGAAGTTGCCATTTTCCTGCACGTAGTGCGCTGCTTCAATACACATTGACCCCCGACGTTTCTGTTTTTCTTCTTTTTTAGCCTACATGTCCGACTCCTCGAAGTACTTGTACGTCGGGTTTTCATATCCGTTGATCTGCATGTTGGCAATATGTCGTTCTTCGGGAGAAGCTGTCTGGTCAACTTCGACGAAGCCCTGGACAAAGTATTAGGATACATTATAATGTAAATACATACTACGTTGAAGAAGCATCAAAATACAGTATATTTGCTTTTCGGTGAAATGTGACAGCAGAAAAGAAGCTACCAATCTAGCCAGGTGTAAAATGCACAGGATTCATTAGGAAAATCAATTGTTTTTCATGAACATTGGAAAAGCATAAAATGTCATACAGGCGGACTTTCCCTTCATCGATACTCAGGAAACGCAAAAATCAATCATACCGATAACATTGTTATAAGGATGCCAATTATGCAGAAATTGAAGGCTGCATGATTCCGGAACAAAAACGGGTTTCTACGGAGAAAATAATTTTAGGAAAATATTCGTAACCCGGCCTTTATTGCAAACGTTGGATTGAATAAAAAGCTGCAAAACCCTTTGAAATCGATTGAAATGAAGCTTAATTTCAAACCTGGTTTTGCGGCAGGGCGACGTTCCTGCGTCGAAGAACAACAATCGTCACAACCAGTACTGTCATCAGCGCCAACCCAGCAAAGGCTACAGTTATGTATCCGGCTTTACTACCCGAACCTGAGTTTGTTTCTCGCGCAACGATGGAGAAGACCTGGAACGAAAGCATGATTCACATGCAATTTTCTATAAATGTTCGCCTATTTAATGCCAACAGACCGATTGCGAGTGGCTCAGTTCGTGAGCTTGGGCATGAGCGACTGGAATTTCTTCTGGCACGTGCTGCACGAGATGCGCTTTATCCTCCTCATCCTTAGAAAAAGTTTCAAAAGGAAAATTTCAATGTAACAATAATTTTTGAGGCAGGAAAATCAAACAGAAGCTTTCGAACGACACAACGGTGGGAAACTTACATCAAAATGATTGGCTGCAACAGGAGTGTCCTTCAAACTGTGGTCGTCGTCCACCGCAATAGGGTCGAATTTTTTAAGCATGAGCTTCGCAGCTGTTTCTTTCCCAACTTGAGGTTCATCGAAATCTTCACGGGGTTTTAATGTTGTCTTCAAAGTCGAAGATTCCGAAGTACTGACGAAATCTGCTTGCTTCTGTTTCGTGCGCTCAATTTCTTGCTTCTTCTTCATTCTATTCAGCATCTTCTGCTTCCGCATTTCTTCTTCTTCGCGTTTTCGATCATCAATAAGCTTTTTCTTCATCAAAGCACGATCGCGGAGCTTGTCCATGGTTTCTTTTTCGGCATCTACCGTTCGCGAGAGAAGTTTAGAGTTCGGGGCAAACGTGGCTCCATCGGTAGCAGAATCTGCGAAGTTCTGCTTCGTTCGCAAGGCATCAGCAAATTCATCCATCAGTGGCCTCAATCTTTGTTGCAATTCTGGGAATCTAAAAAAAAAGGCATTCGAATGAAATCACGCATATTTGAGAGTAGGAGAGTGTGACTTCAGCTCTTCAGCTATAATACATGACATTCAGACATCTTTTACATACTTATTCAACATGTCCAAGCTTTGATTAACCGTGCGATCCACTTCCATAAGCCTTTCCAGGGTAATTTCACGCTGACGCTCAGCTTCCTCGAAATTGGCATTCAGCAGGTGACGATAATGAGCCAAGGTGTGATGTCTATCCTTGTGAAGGGCCCGCAGTAATTTTTGCAGACATTTCTCAACCTTGTGAATCTGCGTTCCCCGAAATCAGAATCAAATTAGCACAATGAAACCCCGATGAAGAGTGCTATACTCACGCTGGGAAGACGTTGATTCAGAGCCTCTCTGTAACAAGTAAGAGCCTCACGCTTTCGGGTATTGATTGCTCGCAAAATCCTCTGCTGATGCATAGAAACAATCTGTTGTTTCTCAGCTTCACCATCTGCTTCCAGGTCATCGACTCGCTTTTGGAACCTAGAGAATACGATGCCAATAATAGCTATTCTGGACAACAACGGTATCAATGTCACCGTCTTACTTCGCGGTCATTTCACGGCGGAACATTTCAGCTTTCTCCGGATCTGCAATCTTCATGTCTTGGTACTTTTCTTCCATAACTCCCCAATCCTTCATGACCTAAAAACATTACGAACATTTGCTTCAAAATATAATGCAATTCAAACGCAACCGAACTCCAGAAATCGCGCACGAACTTCGCAAGCATAAGATTACTCTTTAATGTGCACATTTTTATTCCAATTAACCCCCGACGATCAGAACTTCATCCTACTACCGTACTCTTGACATGGAGAAATACGACCGCTGAAGCAAAATTCGTTTATCGTTCACTTGAAAGTTGCGAACCGCTAGAAACCGCACACCTCTTCTCCCTGAATCGGCGCACTGATCGTAATCGTTGCGAACTTTTCTGAAAAGTTGTAATTGCACGTGTGGCTATCCGGTGATTATCATATGATTCAAAGCATACGGCTCGATAAAGTACAGTACTGTAATCCAATACGAAATTCCAATGATCAGTGATTATAGAAAGAAGAGAGCGGGGCAGGAAAGGTTGGATTTAAATCGCGATTAACACACGGCCTTCCGCGGTAATTCAACGCATGCACCAAATTCTTTCGAATAAATTCAAGATTAGTACAGTACCTTAGAAACGCGTTCTTCGTGATGCTTTTCGATGCGTTCTTTTGCAGCCAGGAAATCGCTACGCTCGCTTTCGGAATCATAATTCGTCAAATATGGATCAGGCGTCGGTGCGATACGCGGATCCGCGGTGGATGATGTCGGTGCAACTGATGACGTCTCAATATCGTCGTCTTCGTCGTCCTCGTCATCATCATCATCCGCGTCATCTTCATCTTCGTCTTCATCATCCGGATCCTGGTCATCGTCATCGTCACCAGTGTACAATTCATTCGGATTGTTAAACTCTGAAAAGTAATTTTCAAGCGTTCAAGGGAGATGTCATTTCAATTAAGAAAAACCCTTTCCGATTCGAAGAAAAAGTAATTATCAAAAATCCAGCTTCGTGCAATACCGAAGATAGAAATTCAAGAACCGGAGAAACCATCAATTGTACTGGATTCTCGCAGAAAAAAGCTTTCCTAGACATAATAAAATTTGGAAAGGACACATATCTTGGGCCGTAAGCTTAGCTAACGTTGGAAAAAAATTCAACATAAGATGGTTGTCTCAGTTGGACGCGACAACTAAATCTTCCGAGTATGCGTGATAAAAAAAAATGACACCAATGATTCTCCGTGAATTTCTGAGGTGATGGGATCTTCTTCGGATTTTTAAAAGTTTTTCAGTTTACTGTATCATAAGCGAAAACTTATCATCTGGTTTAAGTCAGTGTTCTCCACTCATGTCACAAGACGCCAAACATTTTTCAGGCCAGCTAAAAAATTGAAAATTATTTTGCTTGTTTTACCCATCATATTCAGTATGTTAAGATAATAAATATTAAAGTTTAGAACTTTAGATGGTCAATTTTTTTTAATCGAAAAAACCCCAGAACCTTAGAATATGGGATAAGTCACGATTTTTATTACAATATTTTAATTTTTTCACACACTGAAAATATCAGAGGTCGCGTCCAACAGGTACAACCCTCGTACATTACGTCAAACTGACAAATTCAATGCACTGAACTCAAAATTCGAAATTAATTTGCGGCCTACAAAACCCTCCAAATCTATACAAAAAAAGGAAAAGGCCTAGGATAGTACAGTATAACCAACGTAACACGAGAAAAATATGCCGGCCTTGAAAGGAGAATCAAAATTAATTTTACCCGTCCTCCAGTATTCTCGCGATTCAGGAATTTTTCGATTGGTTTTGAGAATACAATTTTAATTTCTTTTTTTGAACGCCTCAGCAGCGAGAAAAGAATGTACGACAAAAAAATTAACTGCACGCACAGCAACAAGGAAGCAAACGAAAACGGTAGCCAATTCCATGAAGCTGAGATGCAATATAAAAGTACAGTACCTTTCAACCCAGCGTCATGCGGGCAGCAAACGAACTCCACTCCCTGGAAAACATCAACGCCACAAGGTCTCAGCATGGCGTGAGATCGGAGCTCCAACTCTCGCTGCTTGCAAGACCGTTCCGCGACGACTTTCCACGCATCCGGCATGAGGCACTGGCTAGCGTTGTGCACGTGATCGAACTGACAACCGTGTGGCACCAGCAAAGCGTCCGACTGGAACTCGCCACCTATCAGAAATCAACAATGTCACACCATCGGCATTCCGTGGAATAGCCCTTCCTTCACCAATTCACATTCATCCGAATATCCCCCCGCGCTATTTCCAGCAGTTCGACATTGATTTAATTGGAATCATTCAACTACCTTCCCAACGAGATACGCCATCAAGAACGTACGAATACAATTCCAGTAACACGACAGCGGAGAATACATGATGTTAGATTTCACTATCCTGCCAATCGATTGATAATTTATCCAGACCTTCATCAATCCTGACAGGTGCTTCATTGAGTAAATGCGAGTGACTCCATCCGGAATCGAGTACTGGAAATACATTAATTCGCCAAGATGGCCTCCAGGTTCGAATTATCTTTACTAAACCATCAGAGGATGAGTTAATCAATTATTTCGCATCACAGTCGCTTTGGCCCATCAGGGAACTTTTAACTGAAACGAGAATACCCCATCATACTCACTCAAGCAGCGCACAGGTTTGACCTTCGCTAATTTGCGACATTTCAGGCTCTTCAGCGGACACCAGTTTTCAATTTTCTGGAACTCCGTCTCGACGATATTCTGGATGTCTTTGTCGGGATACACCTGAAAGAAACAAGGCGGAACTTGAGCAAGGTTGAAAAAGAGGAACAGGAACAGCACGGGCACGGTCTTCACGGGCGGAAACGTAATTACACGAAGGCGGAAACATTTCTACGGTTGACCAGAATCGCGCAACCGGACAGGATGAGCGATGTTCCGCGAACTTTGATCAAGGAAGCACCTAGAAGTCCATGAACAAGCAGCACCTCTATCTTATCCCGTCGATTTCCTCCCATTCACGAAGAATGATGGGAAACCAAACTCCTCCAGACAACGGGGTCCCTAGATAAACACGAAAACCCTCCTTCGCCCAGGAAATCCGTCCATTAAGAATCACGGTAGGTTCACAATTGACTCGTGATCTTCTGCAATTATTTTATAGTAACCGCGAGGCAAGATACAGTACCCCGATTCTGGATACTCAAAACAAGTTTAGCTGAACTCGGGTTCTTTTCGAAGCACGCCCGCGGAAATCAGATTCTCCTTTGATGTCCCCTGTTGCCCCTCCCACCTCTTTTCTCATTACGCTCAACACCTCGGCTAGCAGGATTCACTCCGGGTACGAACCTAGGGTCCGCGGGGGTTTCGAATGACTTCTGGCATCCAGTAAGCCATATACGCCGCACGCTCCAGACCTTTTATAGTATCCAACTGGCTAATGACTTTTTCACGTGAGAACAGATTAGATTTCCAAGCCAATCTTGACGAGTAATAAATCCTCTACTTGTGCGATTAATACTGCTTCGGACCCGTGCAAAAAAATATCCCCGCTACTTTCTCTCATGAATCCCACAATACTGTATAACCAATAGGCTTCAACAGGAGCGGATTTATTCTCATGAGAGATCAGTAAAGCAACATCAGATTCTCGACAATTCTTCTAAAAAAAGAGAGGTCGTCAACAAGGGGACCCTCAATGACGATTTCTTCAACCACGATATACTGCATACAACCAAATGTAACTCGACGCAACAGTAGCTTCTCTACAACAATATTCTCTGTATGAAGAATGTTCTTTCGGTCAAAAACCAGATGCATAAATATATTTTCATCTACAAAGAATCAATTATTGCTCCCACAACTAATTTCATAATTTTTTTGCTTTAAAAATGTATATAATACCACTGCAACCCACTTTTCTGCCTTGATTTTGCAGAAAAAAGGTGCGCGTGGTACTCAATCAAATAAAGGGTACATTCAAGTCAAGAACAAGGATTTCATTATAAGGTGTAAATTTTCATTACGAAGATTCTTCCCGCAAGAGTTGGTCTAAAAAAAATCTTTCCTTTTTTTCATATCTCCGGGAAAACGCGGCATGTCTACGGTACAACCGACGTTCAGCTCAAGGTTTCAAGGAAATAGTTCAACAATAGATGATCTACCACTTCGCAGTTGATATAAAAGTCGTCGACGCGAGTCAACGGAGGTTCAGTAGGCCGGGGATGATTAGGGCGAAGGCATAATGCCCTATTATCTGCCAACAGAGCTCATCTCATCCGGCGGAAGGGCGTTCGGGCTATGGTATCCCATCACAATGATTTGGCCGAAAGGAATGCGTATGGTGAGAAATGGGAGAAGCTCTCGAGCGCAAGCGAATGGCAAGAAGTAATATCAGCCCGGAATCAGTCGGCGCGTACACAAGGGGTCGAAGCTATTACTCCTCCGAAGAAATGATCAACGTTGACCACGACAGCGCCGACGGGTCGTGCCACAGAAGGCAACAAAAATAAAAAAGAAAAGAAGAGAGAGTACATGGCAAAGCGATTGATGCAAGAGAAGAGAGGCTGAAGGACGGCGGTGTTGACACGAATTGGACTGCTCGTGGGGCAGAGGAGTCCGGGCAAATAAAGACGCGGAATCAAGACGTCTCGAACCAGCTGCGAGTGCTCCGGGAGACGCTCGCTTCAATTACGAGCGAAACTCGAATTCTCCCGTTCCAGAGCTCTCGAGATGTCTGGGGAGCGTAGTTCCAGAATGTTGTGTTCAGAGAACACTTGGCAATGCAAACAAAGCTAAGTGCCACGGTTCAATCACACATCAATGATCAGTTCCTGTGAAATGGTAGACGCTGGACTTCAAACCAGCGCCGCAGTTTCTGTGCCATACGATACCATTCGGCGCATCATTGCTGCTTTACGGGGACCTTCAGCAAAATACAGTATGTGCGGACTTAATTCTAGAGCGAAGTCTTTCCATCAGTGGTACGCCATATTTTCCAAAGGTTACGGGTAGGTTCATGGAGAAATCGTAAGCAGATTCGATCAAAAAGACCAGGCAGAAGAAACCGCGAGTTGTTCAAATAGGGCATGGAAATCCAGAAACTGACAATTCGATTCAAAATGTTCAAATTCGTCACGATTTTAAATAAAAGTACGAAATACTATGACAATAATTCAATTGAAAATTCACTCTAACTGTATTCTGTATTTCAAGTACACTTCACACTGAAAGCACAGCTGTGAATACAGGATACCGTCTAAAAATGATGATTCAGTAAAACTTTGGACGATTCTTCATCACATTTTCGATTCGAATAATATTCGCTCCTTCTCTACAATGGAACTCAAATGAACAGAAAAAAGCGTTATAGAGAGAATTTCGTTGTAGATAGACCCTATAGAACGGGAATAGAACCCGATGGGAGCTAAAAAATTCTTTGTCTATAGAAAATCGAAGTGGACAAGATCGTTGTAGAGAGAGAGAGTCCACCTGTATTGAAAAGAATTCGTCCACTAATTTTTCGTCATCCTAAAAATCGTGCGAATCTCATACACCCTGCCTGTGTCGAAATCGGAACAAGTTACAGTTGTCTCACATTAGCGCAAATATCGTGATTACTCGTCAATAAACGTGACAAATTTCCATGAAAATTAGAAAACTTCGGAATTCCGAACGAAGTTAAAAATGGAGCAGTTGCAGGAGCAAATTTTCCACGGCGAAAGAACGAGGATTGAATATGATTCGAAAGGCGATTCTTGCGACAACGACGATGTCGATTTGAGCTCATGGAGAAACGCTCAGGTTACGCTTTCATAATACACGTAAGGTTCGATGCAGAATTTCTTCGCACGAAGGGCAAAGCTAAGGAATAAAACATGAATTCCGATCGACTTGGCATGACGACTCAATCTTAACCAAACAGCGATAAGACAAGGGAAATATTGAACGCTGAATTACATTAAACGCGGAAATGAACCGGATTATTCATACCTTGAACCCTCAATCGTGAAGCTCTTCGGGAATATTGAACAGCTCGCGACATCTTGAAGTGTGCCAAGAACAAACACAATAGAAAACGAAAGAAAAACAAAATGGAAGAACTCGTGGAAAATCTGGGGGGAAAACCTTTACGCGGTCAGAATATGACTATGAGCATACACAATGCTCGTCAATAGCGTGCAAACACACTTGATTATGACAAATGCATCCAGGTAACCCAAAAGGGTAACTGGGCTCCAAATGACAGTTCAGGGACAGCCAGTCACAGGCGACGCATTGGCGGATAATAGAAAGACCAAGCGACGGATTTCTCAGTAATTCTGAATGTTCCCCACTTCATACTTTTTCATGGAATTTCCGGGGGAAATTAATGCATTTATAGATGACGGAAAATCACTAAATTTACAGGCCGTTTGACCATGCAGCGGCGTTCATAAATGTTCTTAATAATCTGAACAATTGCAAATCGGGGTATTTCACACAAGTGAAAAACGTCAGGATCTGTTCTCCTTCAGTGGTTCGAAGATTTGAAAGAAGTGTGAAAAATTAAGTGATCCTCACGTAAAGTAATTCGTCATGAAGGACCCACATACAATTTTCCGAGCATCGATTAACTGGGTCCAAAATTCACTTAATTAGAACGAAACAGAGTACCCTCCACATCTTAAAATTCAACTTTCTGCACCATCATTTTGTTTCCATATTCGAAATAATGTCACTATTCAAGATTTTTGTGAATGTCGGGCAGATTATGTAATGCTCGGTCAGATTATGTAACCTCAAATTATATGTGGGATTCATTTTTGAATAATGTAATTAAATACAGTTCAAGATTTCTAAAATGTGATGCGCGCCGAAGTACAGTACAGTACAAGAAAAAGGGATTAATAGCCGATTTGTGTAGACCATACACGTTTTTTTTCGCTGCAGAGAAAATCGTAGGGAGAAATATTCTTGGTGCTCTACTGCCGTATACAAATTACAAATCGTGGGTGACAAAAATTATGAAACGGCCCATTCGCAGAGAAAATCCCCGCGCACACATACATATCATAAAAATCAATAACCTGTCATTATTGCTTGCTTGGAACACCCGCAAATAATTGTCTCAGTCCAAAGAGCCCGCACTGGGATAGACAAGACATCCATGCGTGATTCATCGCACTCCATGATGCGGAAACGCGAGGTGCGGTAAATGGCAACGCTACATTTCTTGCCAGGATTTGACGTCCATCAATTCTGCACAGGGCAGAGCAGCAAAGGCGCACAAGGCCCCCCCCCCCCGGATTCCTGCTCATGAACATGCGCTTCGCAGGAAATCGAGTTTTCCGCATGGACGCTGATTCAACCCCGGCGCTGGAGAGGGTAGCGCTAAGTGCGATTGCCGACGCTCAGGACGTCGTCAGCGCCGCGATCTCGGCGGTCGAAAATCAACCCGCAGGTAACCTCAGAGAATACTAGTCAGGCAAACTCGTAGATTATCCCGCTACGAGGCCCGAACAATATGCTTGCCAGTATGGCATGACGAGTGCGACGGAGTCGCCATGGAAACAGCGTCGGAGGTTGAAATGTGCATGCGTGGAACTGCCCAGTTCTTCGCCAGCCGGGCTGCGACCACACATCACGCTTCTTATACGCGCACTGGTCCCACCGACGATCTTGGCGGGAATGCCGAGCCTTTTACAGGGCCCTCACACGTCACTGCAATTTTCGGTAATTCCCTCAAATCGCCATACAACTCTTGCTCAAATGCGATTACCCCCCCATACCTTGACCCGGGCCAACCACGACTTCCGAAAAGAGGCAGGGCGATCTGGAAGCGGCATCCGAATGCGTCACACTTCCTCGGAAGTATCTTGGGCCCTAGAGAAGAACCCAGACGAAAAAAAAAGCTGGTCTCGATTGAATTTGAAAACAAGACGGCAGTACTTTCGGCACGATGAGAATTCCATCACTTGTAGATATGCGCTCAAGTTACGAAACGTGACGTTGCACAATTTTCCGGACAAGGACAATG